CAGCATTGGTTCCTGGATGCTGTTGGGGGGAGGGGGGGTGTGGAATTGTACAAAACACCAGAGCAGAGATGGGGGGTTGTTTTTTTTTTATATGAACTTTATTTTTGTGAAAATTAAGAGCCGTTTCAGACGTCTTTATTATTTTGGTGTGGATTTGTGTTTATGATGTATGCTTAACTCAGGTTTTTGTGCCCTGCTGGTGCTTTCCCTGCTTGCTCAGAGGGACAGGCAGGAGCTGCTATGATGCCCCCGTGGTCTTCACGTGGCTGATCACCCAAACAGGGAGGGGTGGGGGGGGGATTATTAATTCCCCTTTAAAGGTTTTCCCCTAAGTCTTAAAGACCATGCGGCCCCATCACACTTTCATTTTTCTTACCCCTCCATTCACTTTCTTTAAAGTCACTCCCCCATGCCTGCTGGTGAGAGCAAAATAAGAAGTGAGACCCGCCTGGGGGTCGGGGTTTTTTGGGGGGTGCATTTGTGGGATACCCAGTGAGGTCACGAGCTGGCTCATCCCTGCAGGTAGGAGGGGGGTGGAAATCCTGATTTCCACCGATGGAAACTCCTCCCTCCATCCGATGGATGCCAGGAAGAGGGGTGAAACTGCCCAGCGTTGTGCCCGCGGCCGTGCCGGGGGTCCGTGGGCAGCCCCGGGGCAGGATGGTGCTGAGCTGGGAGCTGCACTCGCCCCGTCCCGGGGGCAGGGCTGGGAGAACCTGTGCCCTGGAGCGCGTGGGAGCCTCGGCTCCATCCCCCCCTCTGGTTTTTCGTGGGGATATCCCTCGGGGTGAACGGTGCCTGTTTGTCTGCAGCCGCTTTGAAGCTGGTGTTTAAAATAGTTCTTTGAATCTCCTGGTTGCTCCGCAGCTGGATGGTTACTCACCGTGCTGAGATGGGGCCTGATAACGGGGCTGCTGAGTGGAGGCTGAGTCTTTGCAGCGTGTTTCTGTCGGGTGCAGAGTTTGGGTGTGTTCCGAGGGACTCCTCGCACCCGTCCTGTGGTTTGTGTCTGCGCCGTGGCTGTACTTCCCCCCTGATGCTGTGCCTGTGCTGCTCCAGCCCTTTCCCTCAGGGAACCCTGGGGCACGGGGACCGAGGGCCAGGACACACTGAATTTCCTTCCCCCCTCTGCTCTGAGTTCAATCTTTTGGCTCAAATCCTTTCTCCCTCCCTGAATTTTAAGGTACAAAAAAGAGAGTTATGTTCATCTTCCCCAGTGAGGGTGCATCACTGGGTGTTGGGTCTTCCCTGGTGGACAGAGGAGTGAGGCTGTGGTTCCTCCCAGGGTTAATTAACCCTGTCGGTGCAGGACAGGGGGAAGGGCTTCAGCCAAACCCCTGCCCCCGGGGTGTCCCCAAGCTGCACAGATGTCACCAGGGATGAAAATGCCCCTCACGGGTCAACAGAAATGAATAAAGTGACACTGAGTAAAGTGTCATGTGTTTGCACAGGAAGCTCCTGCAGTGTGGAATTCCAACCCGGGCATTTATTAAAAAAATGTGTTTTTATCAGTAATGTTTATCTGCTGTGTGACTCTGGCCTCAGCCTCCTGGAGCTGGAGGGCGGTGCCAGGATCCCTCCCCATCCTGCAGCCCTGCCTGGGGGGTCTGAGCCTCGAGGAGCTTTACAAATCACCTCATCTGAGGAAAAAAACGCTGGTGTTTGTTGTGAGCCTGGTTTGGTTATTTTGGTACAGAACAGATCTCTGTTTGGGCTGTTCTCTCTGGACGTGCTCCAGCCAGAGGTTTTGTCTCGCTTGGTTTCTTTCTTTACTGCTGAGTTACAGCTGAGCAGCAGGCAGCAGAGGGGGGGCTTTTAGCATTAAGAAATGACCCTCCTGTGCTTAAAAGCTTATTGAATTTTTATTTTAAATTCCAATAAACTCTCATGTCTCACATTGGAGGGCCCCCAGGGGCTCTGCTGTGTCTATGGCTCTCCCTGGCTGGAGCTTGTTCCTTCAGCCCTGCAGGTGGAGCTGATCCCAGGGCTGGAGCTGCTCCCGTCCATCACCTCGGGGGTCTGCAGACCCCAGGGATGTGATGGGACCTGTGCCCAGGCTGTAGCTGGTGGCACTGGCTGTGGCCAGCACAACACTGGCCAGTTACTGCTGCTCTGGGAGGTGTCACAATAACATCTGCACCTCCAACTGCTGGAAAATGGCATCGGCCCTTGGTGTTGGCATCATCCAAGGGGATGTGCCCTTCTCTCATCTCTTCCCTTGCTGCCCAGCAGGATGGGCAGTGGAGGAATGGCCCCAACCTGCCCCAGTGGAGCTGCAGTGATTCCCAGGGGATCTGTGGGCAGGCGGCTGCTGAGGGACAATTTCTTGCCCTGGAGGGTTGCCCAGGGCTGTGCCAGGCTGCCCAGGGCAGTGGTGGAGTCCCCACCCCTGGAGGGGTTCCCAAGCTCGGGAGATGTGGGGTGAGGGACACAGGGCAGTGGGGACCTGGCAGTGCTGGGGGGTGGTTGGACTGGATCTTAAAGGTCTCTTCCAACCAAAACAATGTTGTGGTGCTGTGATCTGCGGGTGCTGCCAGCCGGGTGCCACTGCCCTCTCACCACCACACCGGGCAGGAGAGGAGCGTGGGGAAGGGGACAGAGGATGGGGCACGTGCCCCTCGGGTTCTGCCCCACGCAGCTGGGGACCTGGCAGTGCTGGGGGGTGGTTGGACTGGATCTTAAAGGTCTCTTCCAACCAAAACAATGTTGTGGTGCTGTGATCTGCGGGTGCTGCCAGCCGGGTGCCACTGCCCTCTCACCACCACACCGGGCAGGAGAGGAGCGTGGGGAAGGGGACAGAGGATGGGGCACGTGCCCCTCGGGTTCTGCCCCACGCAGCCACAGTTCTGCCACTCCCCCAGCAAAGCCACCGGCCACCCAGGGCGTCCTTGCGGCA